TCTATACAACACACCCTGCTAGCAGAGCCTTCTTTTACCAGTTCGGGAGTATGCCAGTTTTGGAAGAAGCGATGACGTCATGATTCCATTGTTCTGCTAAAAACACGCAAAAATAGGAAAAAATAATCGCAAGAAACAAGGGAGCTTTTTTCAAAGCCTGTTGCAGGTCTCCTCGTTCAATATCTGGGACTTCCGAGCTAGCAGTACCGATGAAGAAGCCTTCTCCTTGCTTTTTTAAAGTCAAGGGAAGTTTCCTGCCACATTTCGGTAGTTAAAAGCGACAGTTTTCAAATGGCCTTCACCGCCGCCGCCGCCATTTTGACGGGTATCGAATGTAAGTACATGAATTTATGTTTAGTTTTCAGTATCTTGCCGAATTTTTACGAAATCAAGACTAATTTTCCTCAAAACTACAACATGTAAAGTGTGTTCAGGCAAAGTTTCATCGATGGCAACAACCTAGTAAAAATGGCAACCACACATTGAAAATTGCCAACGGACAGGAAGGGTTACTAATATTGATGGTTATGCCTTAGTCTGTCTATGTAGTTTTAGTTATAATCGATCAGGTCTGTTTTTGGTTGTGTTCACCGGCAATGTATGCGACTTTCATCTAGAAATCACTTTATTGATCCAGATCATGTGTGTGGAATGAGTTTTAAATCGATGTGAGTAGGTTCTTATATTGATTTCTTTTATTTTGATCAGGATGTCCGTCCAAAATGTACACAAACATCTGGAGATATTACAAACATGTTGTCGCGTTTGTGCCAAAAAGCTGGGAAAAGGAACCAGGAAGACAAAATGCTAAATATCTTCAGAACGACATATTTGTGCTCTGAGGGCAAAATATTGCTTTAGGTTCGCCTTATGTTCCACTGTAATGAAAAATTTAATGTCCAAATTCAACCCTACCTCAATAAAATTAATCATGTTTTTTTTTGTTCCTTTGTAGTGTGGTCACAGGCTTACCCACCACAAAAGCCCCTCCTTTGACCCTTTCAAAAATGGGGAAGAGGGAAACAGGTTGGACGGGGGGCTTATATACCTTGTGAGTGGGAGCTCACACTCAATGATCATTCAACCATAGAAGAGACTGTGGCCTTTATTCAATGGGCTTTAAAGGAGATAGATGAGAAAGGAGTCATGGAAGTGGAGGCTTGTGAAGATTTTCTCTACATAATGTTCAATCCCTCGCGTCAAATATTGTTTATACTTTACAGATGCCAAATACATAATATGTTCAGTCCCTGTGCTGTGCAAAAGGTCAATCTGAAACATGAAAAATGCCACACTCTCCCCCATCAATCCCTGTGCATGAGCAATAAGCCCACATTTTATGTCATAATATTGAATATGTGTGTATTTGAAGAAATCCTAAATTATTGAGATTGTCTTGATGAAAAAGCATCTATGTTAATGCATCGTCTTCAACAAATCATCCTCCCTAATAAATAATACATGAGAGACATCTCACAAGATAACTATTGAAAATCAATGTCAGCTGCTACTGTCTTCATTATATCAAATAAGTTTTGGTTTTTGGTTTTCATGTCCAAGAAAGTGTTAAAAAACAAGATTTTGAGATAAAAGAGTGTGTATAATATGCGAGCCAGAGAGCCATGGCAGCGAGTCATGCAGGTCAGAATCAAAAACAGTAATGTCTGGAAAGAATTAACTGTCAGGACCTAAAATCAAATGCTTATTTACAAAAACAAAATGTAACAATAAATAACTTTTATTACAATCTTTACTCTGATGTGTGAGCTTTGTTTTCTTGAAAGTGCTGTTCAATAGAAACATGAAGAACCGGCTATGAAAAAGAACTTTGGAAAACTTATGTTGTGTCCATGCCAAGTGCAGTAATCATTATTATTTTGGGCCAAAACTTGTCTAATAGAATTGTTTGAGGGTCCCCACAGAGAAGACTTGGAGAAAAGTGCTCCTCAAAGTTACA